AGGGAGGGAGGGAGGGAGGGAGGGAGGGAGGAAGTGTTCAAGATGCTGGAATAAGGGTAGAACTGTATATATTTACAATTTAAAAAACCTGCACCAAGATAGCTCCATACCTGAGCTAAATTCAGCTGAATCTTGTGACCTGTACACATCAAGCAAATGCAATTGAATTATGCAAATGAAGCAATGAAGCACACATTTGCATAATCTATTCTACCCCTGCCTGCGTTGCTGAAGGACAAGAAGCTATAAAGAGCACTGAATTCCACCTCCAGATCACTGGAAGTCCCTCAGCACCCTGCCTCTTTCTGCGTTCCGCTGATTGTCAAGCATCAATTTTTTAAAAAAATATAACCACGACAATAACAAACAAGGCTGCAAAGACAGACTTTCCCTGCCAGTGAGCTTCCCAGAAGTATCTAGCTGGTCACAATGGGAAACTGAATTCTGGACGAGATGAACTCTACGTCCAGCCCTGCTGAGTTCTCCTGGCATTCTTAGGACAGCATGGATGCTTCCAGCCAGAGCATGAAAGCGCACCCAGGCCAAGGCGGCAGCAGCAGCAAAAGGCATCAGAACAGGTGGGAATGCCATCCATGCGTGCCGTTTGCTGTTGCAGCTCTTTAACTCCTGTTCCTCCCCTCCATGTATAGTTAGCTTCCTGGGTGCATCTTGAACACCCTAGCTTTCGGGGTTTTAAAGCAAATTTCTAGCCCTTATGAAGACAAATTTCAGCTAGTGGATCTTCAGTCACAGGAGGACTGAGAGAGATTTTCTGCCACTCCTGTGCTCCACTCGACTGACCCGTCACAGGAGGACTGAGAGAGATTTTCTGCTCTGCGCTCCACTCGACTGACCTCATAACTAACAAGAGCGGAATAAATTATACGAAGGATAAGCAAATATTTGTAAAATTGCTCAGTGTGCACAGTTAAATCAGATTACCAATACTGGATGCTCCCGGATATTAATTTGGATTTACCTTTTTTAACTATAGAGGGGTATGTATAACCCTGGAAGTACAGTTTGGTATAAAGAAGTCTGATTTTTCACATTTATCTCGTGCATTCAATGTTCAAAGTCCTTCACATACATTATCTTTTTGTTAGGAGGACAACAATCCTGTAAGCTAAGCCAATACTACTACCCCCTCCCCATACACACACCATATTGCAGACTGGTGACCAGGGCTGAGACAGACAGCAATTACTCTAAGGCCACAGCAGGGATGAGATCTGAAGCAAGGACTTCTTGATTTTTAACTCGGTCTCTATGGCACAAACAAACAGAATGCAGTTCACAGATCTCCAACCATCTGTAAAAGCAAACTGCACTCACACGCAGCCCTAGTTTGAATTGGAGCCATGCAGGGAGGATGCAGGAGGTTTAACCCTTCAACCCCCATTCAGTTTTGCCAGTTGAAACCAGGCTCCCTAGGCTGTGATTACCATTTTAAAGGGGAAAAGATGTGTCCTGTGATAACCTGTCTCACACACACACCCCAAATGCTAAGAACAGTGCAGTTAGCTTGGTTTCAGTCAGCAAAATTGGGGATGGAGTGTTCTGTCTCTCATCCGCACAAACTGGGACTGTGCAGATTACCTTTTACAGACAAATGGAGATCAGTGATCTTTCTCAGAGGGTAGCCATGCAGTAGAACAGCTAGATCTGAGTCCAGTAGCACTTTAGTCCAAGGGTGTCGAACTCATTTGTTATGAGGGCCGGATCTGACATAAATGAGACCTTGTCGGGCGGAGCCATGTGTGTCATAAAATGTAATGACAGGTAGCGGAGATATAAACTTTATAAAGGAGACAAACACAAAGGTTTTCTTTTACTTAAAATAAAAACATGCTTAAAACATTAGCACTCTTGCAATATTTTGTTTATTTAACAGTGTCTGATAACTGACACCTCTTGCTCTGAATTATTACATCAAAATGTCTGTGCTGTTGCAATCTTGAGTATGCTGTTCAGATGCGTATCTGTAAGCTGCTAACCTACAATGACGCAGTAGCAGCAGAACTGGAAGAAGAAGCAGAAGACAGGAAGTTCCACTGCGGGCCTGATAGAAGCCCTCCGGGGGCCTAATCTGGCCCCCGGGCTGCATGTTTGACACCCCTGCTTTAGAGACTGTGAAGAAATGCCTTTTTTCACCCTTGGAGGCTGAAATGAGCAAAACCTTCACTTTGTGTTTTAAAAGGTTCCCCCCATCTCCTCTCTGGGCAGAGAGCAGGCAGGAAGGGGGGAGGTCAGTTCACTTGCTTTCCAAACGAACCCCAGTCCACCTTCATACAAATGCTAATAGATCTAGCAGGACAAATAATGGGTGGGTCAAGCTCGCCCTCTTCCTCAAGCAGGGGACAGAGATTTGGAGGAATGCAAGAGAGACTTCAGGAAGGAAGAAACTGGAGATCTCCAGGAAAAGCCTCTTTGACCCAGCCTGACCTGGTCAGCGGGTGGAGAAAAGAGAGGACAAAACTCAGGGGAGTAAGGAGGAAGTTCTCTTTGGTGCTGGGTCCATCAGAGCAGACAGAACTCTTAACTGAGGTCTGGTAGAGGCAGCCATTGACCATGTGCTGTCCCAGAGAGCTACAGAAAGCTTCAAGGTAATATAAACTCTGTAGAGATCTGTAACTTCCTAATCTTTAGGAGCCTGTCTTATTTTAGCATCTGATAGGGCATGTATAGAGGGAGGGACAGAGGATTGGTGTTTTACCAATTTCTATTGGAAGCACTTGCTCAGTCTGGTGCTGTGCTAAAAGGAGGCTTGTGAACGTTTTCTTTTAATAAATACTTTATAACTCTTGATGCTGGTAGTGGCTCTCTGTACCACATAGACCTCCACCATCTCAGATACACTATTTTAAATGGAGTGCCAGGGGAAGGCAGGCAGTTGGCAAGTGGCTATTCCTCCAAGGGCGCACAAGGCAGTAAACTGTCCCCATGGTGACCAGGTGCTGGGCAGCAGGAGACACAGAGGCAAGGCCTCAGAACTGGGAAGGGAAGCTGGGAGCCCTGACCCTCCCAGCAGGCAATTCCTACAAAGATCAGGTAGATGGCGGCAGGCTACCCAAGAGAGAAAGAAAAACCTCTCCAGGTGTTGGGAAAACTTTGGAGAGTGGGGTGGAACAAGGCCTGCAGGCCAGAGCAGGCCCGTTCCGCCACAGAAACCAACAAGAATTTCTGAATATAAGTTTTCAAGGGGCAAAGCTCCCATCCTCAGATACTTCTTTCTCACTTCTGTTTCTGCCATTCTACATTACACAAGCTCACCAAAGATGGAAAAAGGAGACCCTCCCAGGCTTATACTACTCCTCTTTTCCCCCTGCCTCCAGTTCTTACCAGTCACACGAATCTCATCACTCTCGAACGTCTCGATGTGGAGTTTCAGGCGCCCCCGGCGTTCTGTGTGGTCCACCCCACAAAGGCTGGGCACACAGTGGACACAGCGCTTGTGCACATTCATCTCGCAGCCTGCAGGGGGCAACAGAGGTGGGTTAGTCAGCCAGGATCAGCTATCCCTAGAGTAGACAGCTTCAGTGCTCTCTAACCTCCACCCACCACTCTGCAACTTCATACTTCACACAGATAAGAAAGACTACGTTTGTATGTTGCAGTGCCTCTTTTGGATAGCCTCACTTTCACCCTCACCACTCTGTCCCCACCCCATACGCGTGAAATTTAGGAAACCCACTGAGGACAAGGCTCCAGCTTATGTATGAATGGAGTCAGCCCTTCACTTTAAATCTTACTTAGAAAGCAAAGCAATTGGACAAGGACAGCCAGCAAGGAACTCTGTGCAAAAGAGAACTGGCACCCAGATCCAGTTGCCACCACAACGTGTAAAGGAATGCCCTGCCCAATTCTCCCTGTTTATGCCTCCTAAAGCCTCCAGTTTCCCGTTAATTCCCCTCATAATTCATCTAAGGAAAAGCTGAGATGTGCTCCGTTCTCTTACTGTATACAGCACACCTGACTGATACCAAAGTTGGCATTTTCCATTTTATGGATTCAGAATTTTGAAATGGCTGCGGCCCTGGATGTGGAAATTGTACCAGATCCCACCAGTACATGCCCAGGAAAAATCTGGTCAGATGCTACCTTGCTATAGTGAGGTGTGCAACACTACATCATGCCCTCTCCAGATGCACATGGGCATCGGTCCGTTGATTGCCATGGAAGTTAGCCATGATTGACTTCTCAATCATGACTAAGTCGTATCAAAATCAATAAGACTTAAGTTAGTTGCAACTAAACTTGCTCCATCGGTTTAAGCAGGACTTTGGCTGGATCCATGCAGCAGAATAAAGTGGTAGATTTCAGAGACTATACAATATATATTCAGTAGGGGAATCCTATTTTTTTTATGCTTCCCCCCAATTAAAAACAAATTCCTTGTAATGAGAAAGCTAGCATAGGTAGGAGAGGAGATAGGTAGCAGTCCTTCTTCCTGGCATGCAGACTTTCTGGTCACAAAGGTGCTTTCATGTGAGAGAAAATTCAAAAATGACATTGCCCACTTGGCATCTGAACAGCCCACTCTCCCACCCAAGACTCTCCCATCTCATTCTGCTGCATGCGTTTCCGGACAACTTGTAAACCTACACACTGTTTCATGTCATTTCGGTTGGTCTTAATAAAGGGATTTTGTTGCTGCTTATATAGATTCATCCTAAGTTACAACTAGTATTATGACTGGAAGCATGGTATATAACAGAGACAGTTAATAATAAATATTTATCACTTCTCCTAAAGTGTTAAGAAAAAAATCACAGTCATAATAGTAGTCTGTACAACAATCTTGTAAGGCAGTCCAGTACAGCAAGGGAACCTTTGCCTTTACCTATATAGATTCATCCTAAATTACAACTAGTATTTCAACTGGAAGCATGGTCTATAACAGAGACAGTTAATAATCAATATTTATCATTTCTCCTAAAGTGTTAAGAAAAAAATCACAGTCATAATAGTAGTCTGTACAACAATCTCGTAAGGCAGTCCAGTACACACTGAAATATTTAAATTATATATAAGCTCAGGACCCAAAGGTGTGGATCCTATGACATCATTCCCCTCACACTTCTCTCCAGTGACTATGGCAGTTCTCCTCCACTGCAGCGCTCACTTCCTCTGCTGCTTGCACTTCCGTGTGTGCAAGATCAGGGTTTTTCAAGGAGCCCTTCTGCACGTGGAAGAGTTAGTGGCAGCGGAAGCAAGTTCTGCAGCAAAGGAAAGCAGCCTGAGAAAAAAGTGAGGGGAACGATGTCCAAGCCAAAATGTACAACTGAGGTTGGCAATGGGTAGTGGCTAACCTAAGTTCATCCAGTGCTTTCACGATAGAGCTGAGGTCTGCACTGGGGTCTTTCAGTCCAGAGTCTTACTGGCTCCTGGACAAAACAGTAACTCACCCTGGAGAGATGCTACCATACTTACAATCCGGTGTAATGCATTTTACCAGGGCTTTTTTTGTAGAAAAAGCCCAGCAGGAACTCATTAGCATAATAGACCACACCCAACAGCAGAAACTCATTAGCTTATTAGGCCACACCCCCTGACAGCACAGCTCATTAGCATATTAGGCCACACACCCCATGTTACCAGAAGTGTGGCCATCCAGTCACACCCACCTTTTGCCTCTTATTCTGTTTACCTTGTTTGTTGTCAAAACCCAGGGCTTTTTTGTAGCAGGAACCCCTTTGCATATTAGGCCACACACCTCTAATGTAGCCAATCCTAATGAGTTCCTGCTGTTGGGTGTGGCCTATTATGCTAATGAGTTCCTGCTGGGTGTGGCCAACTCAGGAGCCAGCCGGAACTCCGTTCCTGTGCGTTCCTGCCCAAAAATAGCCCTGCATTTTACTCTCAGTTTTGTTCAATGGGGCTTACTGCTAGGTCAGCGTGCACAGGACTCTAGTCTTGGTCTTTTAGGCATTCCACAAGAGACCACAAAGCTTCCAGGGTGGGTGGTGGTGGGGGAGATGGTTACTTACAGGTACATTTCATCCCCTGGTGCACCAGCCCATAGAGGAGGGAGCCACAGTGATCACAGAACGTCGGGCTGCTGTAACTGTGGATCTTGAACTTATGCTTGCTCCGTGGATCCTGCAAAATGGGAAATCCATACCAACGCATTGTCAATTCAGATGCAACCACAGACATTGTCCTCTAATGTGTAAAACCACATGGATCTTGCCCCATTGCCCTCCTATCTTCTTCCTCCGTTTCTGGAGGGAAGCACTTAGTTTTCTAGAGGATTCTCAGTACCCTATCTCTATATTTTAGTGCTTGAATGTGAGAACACATAAAAATCAAGAAGCATGTGAAAGCACAGCAGGTTCCAACTCCGAATTTCCAATTAATGCACAGTCTAGAGTTCAAATGTCAGTGTTCACAAAGGGTACACAAATGTAAAGGGGCTGTGGCTCAGTGGTAGAGCATCTGCCTGGCATGCAGAAGGCCCCAGGTTCAATCCCTGGCATCCCCAGCTAAAAGTTCCAGGCACCAGGTGATGTGAAAGACCTCTGCCTGAGACCCGGGAGAGCCACTGTCAGTCTGACTAGACAATACTGACCTTGATGGACCAAGGGTCTGATTCACTATAAGGTAACTTCATATATGTTCCCCCAAGAGCACTACGGTCGGGGACCCAAAATTTGTTGGTCATCCCAGGTCCCAAGGATGTGAAACTAGCTGTGACCAGGGCCAGGGCTTTTTCGGTGGCGGCTCCTACCTGGTGGAACGAGCTCCAGGACCTTGAGCAGTTCTGCAGGGCCTGTAAGACAGAGCTCTTTTGCCAGGCCTTTGAGTAGGAGCCGCCACCCCATTATACCACTACCGTCAAGGTATCTTAAAGGATGCATCGACGAGGCCCGAGGAAGAACCTGGAAACTATTGAAGATCTGACAAGCCGTCTCCATTGGACACGTATACTATGGGAGGACCATCTGGAACTGCGGTGTTACCATCTTGGATTTAGGATATTAGTAATGGATTGAGTACTGTGGTTTTAGTGTTGGATGTTTTACTATGTTTGATATGTTTTCACCTATGGCATGGCAAATGACCTTGCCCTTGTTAGCCGCCCTGAGCCCATTGGGGAGGGCGGGATACAAATATGAAAAATAAATAAATATATTCATAAACAGAATGCACTCCTGAATTGTCAGGGAGCCAAGTGAGCGTGCATGTGCCAACATAAGTGTGCACACTGTCAGACAGGCTTATAAGATGTTTATGTGCATATATGATGGTCTAAGGGCCATACTAGACGTGAGAGCATCCTCGGGGCCACCATGAGGATGACGACACGATTTTAAAGATGCCGCGACCAGGCCCACAGCACAGTGGGTTGAGGTGCTCTTGACCACCCCCCCATCTGCCTTATCACCAAAACAGCCACACTCACAGCTGCCTCAGCGCTTGAAAAGGCACCGGGGGAAACGAGGGCACCATGCTGCTGACTGAGACGTCATGGCATTTGTAAATAACTTTTAAATGATGGCGGCGTCTTCACAGCAGCCAGGCAGACGCCGTCAAGTCTAGTTTGGCCCTAGGAGTATGAGTGTCTGTGAACATGTATCCAGATCTGGCCCCAGGTAATGTAATTCTGTGTACACAGCAGTGCAAAAACAAGCTCAATATTAGGAGCAAGAACGAGGCGACAGCAACACGAAATTAAAAAATCTAAATGGAAATCGAAAAGAGCTGCTAGGTCTAGTGAGTCTGAATAAAAGGAGATGTTGGTCTTGCCGCATGCCAGGCTTTTGAAGTTGTGCACCATACGCACTTGAAGGTTGTATAAAGTTTGCGCGTGCACAATTAATTGTGAGTCTGAATAAAAGGAGATGTTGGTCTTGTCGCATGCCAGGCTTTTGAAGTTGTGCGCCATACGCACCTGAAGGTTGTATAAAGTTTGTGCGTGCACAATTAATTGCGTGTGTGGTGGAAGGCCGGGGCAGACAAGACAAATCCTCCCTTCCTCTCCCGCTCCTTCCATGAGATTCCAGGCCAAGGACACCAGAAATGGGACACCAGTCCCTCTATCGCTGTATAAATAGCAAGGAAACCGGGACGCTCACCTGCAGTGGTGGTGAGACCTGAAGTCCTGGCTCCCTAACGCTCCCCCCACCACCACCAAACACACACACTGTATCCAACAGAACCAGACGTGTCCCGCTGAGAAGTTAGGGACCCTGAGGCAAGAGGGCATCACTTACATCTGTCTGGGGTCCTTTCCCAGCTCCTGGACACTCAAAGGTAACGAATTCATGGCATCTCTTGTGTAAGACAAAGCTGCATACTGAGGTAGAAGAGTGAAGAGGGAGGGTGTTAGAAAAGAAAAATGACAGAGATTAAGGAGGAACCAAATATAGGAAGTGTATACAGATATAATAGGCAAGGGGGAAGGGGGAGAGGGGAATAAGAGAGAAGGAAAAGAAGAACACAGAAGAAAAGAAAGAGATATTAGACACTGTTTATTGGAGAGAAGTGGGTTGTTATGACCACAGTGTCCCCATCTGGTATCCTTCTACTCCGTGTTAAATAATCCAGAGTAACGACCACCAACTCCTTTCCACATTCACAAACTTTGTCGTCGATCTGAATTCCCTTGTCCCCATAACCTGCCATGAAATGGTGAGGGAGGGGATTCCTACCCTTTTAGCCACCTAAATGTGGGTACGCCGGAGTGACTGTTGATCTTGGGCATGAACCTGGGCTGCCGATCTATGTCTTCTCAACCCCAACCCCAAGAGGCTGGAACCCACAGAATGGGATTTCTCAGGTGTGGAGGGAAGGAAATACAGGGCGCCAATCCATGAGGGCAGGTTGAGGGGGGGGTGACTTTGCTCTCCCCTTCCTTCCCCTTTTTTTTTTTTCAGCATCTCCAGGCCTGAGATTTGGAAGATGGGTCTCCATGGCAACAGGCGGGGGACGAATCCACAAGTACCCAGCACAGCGGGGGAGGGGATCGGACAGGAGTGGGGGGGAGCAGGGAGGCTTGGCTCAGGCATACTCCGAAAGAACCCTGGAGTCCTGGCTCTAAGCATCGCCCTGCTTTAACCATTTTTTTTCATCCCTTTCCCTTCTCACCCCCCCCAAAGAGCTTAAATCCTCCGGTGTATCCTTGTTACTCATTAGATTGAAGTCCACTTCCAGAAAACACTGGAGGAGTCCCACTGCCCACCCACTCCCCTGGTAAGGTTACCAGTTCTTCAATTGGCCCCTGTAGCTGGCCCTTCACGTCACCACCATTAGTTAGCTGGTGAGACAACGTTTCTCCTCAGGGGTTGCCAGCTCTTCCACCACCCCGTGTAGCTGTGCCTTTAGCAAGCTGCTTGTTCTGCAGAAATTAACAGGTGACATTTTTCAGGAGATAAACATTATTGCCCGCTAACTGCTGCCTGCGAAGCAGCTGGTACAGATGCCAGTTTTGGCAATCCTCTTTCGTCTCCACGCTGCCAAAAGATTCAGTTGATTACGTTTGCAGGGACACAACAGCAGGCCAGGAAAGGTTGCGTTGTTGTTTTTCCTGGCCAGTTGGCAACCCTACAAGTCCCCACTCTCTCTCTCTCTCCCTTGCTCAGTCACTTCTGGAAATGTCTCTGGGTTCCTATGGCAACAGATCTGCCAACTGAGCCTTTACCCCTCTGTGAGCCATTGTCCAGCATGCGCAAGGGAAATCTCATGTGAGGGCAATGGGGGGGACGGGGGATGACATGAGATTGTTTCCAGCACCTGGAGGGAAGGGAAGTGCAGCCCATTTGGATACATCAGAGCATGCTGGGAAACAGGACTCCTGGGTTCCCTAGGAAAGAAGAGGCGCCTGAGAAGTTAGAACACGCAGTGGGTGTGGGGACAAGAATTCTCGAGGTTGAGGGATGCACAGTGGGAACAGGTGAATATGAACTGGGACAGCAGTTGATTGGCAGGTGTTGATGGAACTGGCAAGAGAAGGGGGGGGTTGCTTAGCGATCTCTATGGCAGCCGATATTGCGGTTTCTTAGCAACCAGCAGGTCTGGACACAGATCACTGAGGATGTGTTTCCCAGAATGTAATAAAGTTAGAGAGGGAGGGGGAGACCCTGGCCATGCCAGCTGCCCATCGATGGGGAATGGAACCTTATAGCATTTTGGAAAGAAGTGGAGTGGAGGAAGCGCAGTATTGTATAGCATTTTGGAAAGAAGTGGAGTGGAGAAAGCACAGTATTGAACTCTGTGTGTGTGTGTGAGAGAGACAGAGGGACAGAGAGAGACGTGTGTGTGTGTGTGTGTGAGACAGAGAGACAGAGAGAGAATATATCATTGCAAAGGGAAAGGCGCTTGCAAATACCTCTCCAGGTATATATAAATGCTCAAGTGCCAACTCGCAAGTGAGAATCTTCTCAATTACAACCTGCGAAAAAGGAAATTCCACAAGGGAGTATGCACCTGCCCTGGCAAAGTACGCATGCACAAGATCTCAAATGGACACTTGTGAGACGATGTCTGCATGATGCCAGCCTGGATGTGTGTAAGAGAGAACAGTATGCGTACATTGGGGGGGGGGATACATGTTACAGGGAGGGAATGTTCATATCTAAGTTTGTGCATGTGGTGGCAACTATGAGAGGTTCAGCACAAGGAAGAGAGCATGGGCACTTGGAATTCTTATTGGTCTATGCGACTGTGCATCAGTGAGAGCTATTCAGTGCAACTGAGCCTATGTGTAAATAAGGGCCAAATGACATGTGATGCTCAGTCTCGTGTGGAAAAAGTTTGAGTCCAGTGGCACCTTTGAGACCAACAAAGTTTTATTCAACGTATAAGCTTTCGTGTGCAAGTCGATACAGCGAAGTGTGCACAGAAGTGTGCTTGCACACGAAAGCTTATGCCTTGAGCAGCGTTCCCTCTAAACTGAGTTAGTGTGAGCTAGCTCCCAGTTTTTTAGCCTCTGGCTCACACATTTTTGTCTTATCTCAGGAAGGAGGGCTCCAGAGCAAACTAACTTATGCAGTAGCCAAATTGCTCGCTCACGACTTTAATGCCAGTAGCTCAAAAAGTTGAATTTTTGCTCACAAGACTCCACAGCTTAGAGGGAGCATTGGCCTTGAGTAAAACTTTGTTGGTCTTAAAGGTGCCACTGGACTCAAACTTTGTTCTGCTGCTTCGGACCAACATGGCTACCCACCTGAATCTATCAGTCTCATGTAGTTCCTCCCCCCACCCCCCAACACACTTCTTTTTCTTTTGACCAACCGTGGAGACCCGCAATCTTTTGGTACAGCCAATGAAAGGCAGGTGCCTCTTAACCCTTTTCCTTCTGGCAGCACTTCTGCTACCACACCCACCCAGCAAGTTACTTTTTCCCTAATGGTGGGAGGGGGTGGGGGAATGCAGTATCTTTATTTCTTGCCCGGTAAAGCAAAAAAGCGGCTTGTGGTGGGCAAGAGGGAAAAGGTTAAGAAGACCTTCTTCTCCCCCTACCCAGTATTTCACGGAAGCTTGCAGCCTCCATAGTTATCATCCTGTAAAAGAAAAAGAAAAAATAGCACTAGGGAAGAACTATATACAAGATGACTCTACCAGAGACATAAGTTGCAATTTCATACAGGCATCAATTTCCATGAGAGAACAAAGTGTAGCATTTGTGTTGTTTTTTTTTTGGGGGGGGGGGATGTTCTGCAGGAAGAAACAATCCAGGTAGCTGTTTCATGTATCAGATACTCCGTTTGCGTCATCATAGTGGAAGAAAATGCTTATTGCAGCAGTACAAGTCAATATTCCATTAATATTTCCTGCTGGAACACACCAAATGTAAAAAGGAAACATACACCTCCAGACATGTAAGGGACCCATACTAGGAACCAAGGCCAATCAAGTCTGCCCCCCCCCCACACACACACTTGAAACTGAGAGAAGCAGGGTATGACGTGCTTCTCTCTTAACAAGCACATGTGTAACGCTAACCACACTAAGGATATTGTCAGATGGGCTGTACAAATAAGCTGGGGGTAGAGGTCAGGTGAGCTGGGAGCAGGTGCAAAAGAGAAGGTAAATTTGGAAGGATGTGCCAGGTACACGGGTAGCGGAAGAGGCTGAAGTGCATATAAAATGCAAGGGAAAGGAGAGAGAGAGATTTCACAGCCCTAAAATAGATGGAAGAATCTAGTTCAGCGAAACAATAAACTTGGCTCAAGGGCCGATTGTGTGAACTGCCTGATTAAGAAGGGAATTAGGGAAATTAGAAACAATCTTTCCCAGCTCCCTTGTACAACCCAGCTTTCCTCCTAAGAACCCAAGAGGCCTGAACTCCAGCTCCACCCCAGCCACCCCTGATGCAACTCACGAGTAGTACTTCTTCTCTAAGGTGGCCAACTTGTGAACCAATCATTTTAAATGGCCCTTTTGACAGCAGTTAATAGTTGACTGTGTTTATTTCCTTGCTGGAAAGGTTAGCCTACTGCTCTCCGCGTCACCAGTTTCTTTTAAAGGCACAGGAACAGGCCAAGCTGAGTGTTTCCTGGTCAGTTGGCAGCCTAGGAGTCCTGACACATGAAAGTGATAGAGAACCAACAGTGTCCTTGTTCTCAATTAGTTGCCATCTCTTTATTAATTTTATTTATTTGGATCTTGATACCCCACTCTTGTGGAGCTGCGGTGGCTCAAGTGTGTAAGACGCTGAACTGCAGGCTATGGAAGGTCGGTAGTTCAGCAGTTCGAGACCCGAGTGTGCCACATGACAGAGTGAGCTCCCGTCTCTGATTCGAGCTCCTGCCAACCTAGCAGTTCGAAAGCAAGAAATTGCAAGTAGATAAATAGGTACCACTTCAGTGGGAAGGTAACAGCGTTCCGTGTGCCTTGGTGTTTCGTCATGCCGGCCACATGACCACGAAAACGTCTTCGGACAGCGCTGGCTCTTCGGCTTTGAAACGGAGATGAGCACCGCAACCCTAGAGTCGGATTCGACTGGCTTTCGAGCAAGGGAACCTTTACCTTTACCCCACTCTACTCCTCCATGAGGACCAAAAGCAGCTTAACAATGCCGTTCTCTTCTCTTCCATTCCTCAACAGAAGCTGTATAGCTTTAAAAGCCACATGACAAGCAGAAATTCCACTGGTGCAGTTTCCCCATCTCCTGCCAGGGAGAAAGCTACACCAGCTGAATCCCCATCTGTAGTGACGCAACTACACATAAATCACAAGCACCCACAGGACCAGTTTCAACCCAGAATTCTCATCATCTAACTCAACAGTTTTTTACCCCCTCATTCTTTGCCCGTTAGTTGGAGAGTAAGGTAAAGGTAAAGGTTTCCTTGCTTGAAAGCCAGTCGAATCCGACTCCAGGGTTGCGGTGCTCATCTCCGTTTCAAAGCCGAAGAGCCAGCACTGTCTGAAGACGTTTCCGTGGTCATGTGGCCGCCATGACTAAACACCAAGGTGCACGGAACGCTGTTACCTTCCCACTGAAGTGGTACCTATTTATCTACTTGCAATTTCTTGCTTTTGAACTGCTAGGTTGGCAGGAGCTGGAACTAGAGACAGGAGCTCACTCCATCATGCGGCACACTCGGGTCTCGAACTGCTGAACTACCGACCTTCCACAGCCGGCAGTTCAGCATCTTAACCACTTGAGCCACCACAGTACCTCTGAGTATATGCAGAGTATAACCTTTTGCATGAACACTGAATTGCTAGGGGCAATCCCCATTGTGATATGGACTTCTATGTGACAGATGGAGTGGCTTTTAGGTAAACCTGAACTTTCCCTCTCCATCTCTTTTTTATAAAATTAGAAGAGCTTTCCTTTGCCAGTCCTGCACTACCTCAAATTCATTTTTAGATGATGCAGTGTAGTGACTAATGTACTGTGTTATGGAGCAGGAAGCCTGCAGTTTGAATCTTGCTTTAGCCATGGAATTAAACTGCTTCCCTCTCAGCCCCTCCCCATAATCTACAAGCTGGTAGGAACAATAATACCAACCAACCTTACAGGGTTGTCATAAAGCTTACCACAAGAATATGGATGTGAACAACACCCTGAAGTGCGTTGTAAATGCTACGTGTTATGTACAATTATTATTCTTTCACAGCGTGGGGTTCTCTAATAACGAAAAGGGAACCTGCCCAAAGAGGAAAATCTGAAGAAAGCTCTTACCTAAACACTGAAGGCCCTGTTTTCCAATCCCCCTGCATGGGAAAAAAAGAAAAGAAACAGGTTGTTAGCTCACACAAAGCGTGGGATGCCAGCTTAAAGAGCACTGAGCTAGCAAATTTCTTTTATGTGACCTTAATAAACAACTTTTACAAGACTAGGGGGAAGGGGGTGGTGGTAAACCGGATCTCCATGGAAAGCAGTAATGTCTAAGGGTTAGAGTGTAAAGCAGTAAAGTAATTCTTATTTCTCTGGGGAGGGATTGAAGTCGATCGCCGTTTGATAATGTCCTCATACTCTGGATTAATGTACCTGGAATAATCACCATCCTCTTGTTCTACTCTCACAATCTCTAACATGGATTAAAATCCCCATTCCACCAGTTAGCAAACGTTGGATGGTTGGGGGTGGGGGATAAAATCCATCATTTTATTACCCTGACTGTAATTATGGCTGCACATTAGGTGGCATTAAATGAGTATTGAAGCCAGGACTCCCAGGACTCTCTATAAAATATGGATATTTTATATTCCAGTGCTGTTCTCTCAAGGATAGTTCTCGGGAGAGCTCTCCCAGCCCCACCTATCTCACAGGGTGTCTGTTGTGGGGAGGGGGAGGGAAAGGGATTGTAAACCACTCTGAGCCTCCTTTGGGTAGTGAAGGGGTATAAATCCAATCTCCTCCTCCTCCTAAGTGTTAGAAGGGTTGCACATTGGAGGCTGGCAGTTGTATCTCTGTACTTCTTTTGAAACAGTTTCTGATATAGTGGGTATTTTTGCTAAGTCACTGGAATCATCCAAATGACTCCTGACATAGAGATGTGGCTGACTTAGCTGCTCTCAAAAGAAGCCACCCAGAACTCATGCAGACACCTGGGAAGAGGCTCTTCTGAGGGCAGGCAGTTAACTCACTGGTAAGGGCAAACTAAAGGTGGTGATGTTAGCCTTATGTGTTAAAATCGAAGTCCTGTAACAGTGGTGGCGAACCTATGGCACGGGTGCCAGAGGTGGCACTCAGAGCCCTCTCTGTGGGCACACGTCGCCCCAGCCAGGCCCAGACCATCATTAAAGTGTCGAATTCTCTGCCAAATAATTTTAAGTAAATGAAAGCATTTGGGATTGCTTTCCTTACTTTTGTTTGGATCATCTTAAGTTAATGTATGAGTTGTTTTTTCTAAAGTAAAATCACAGTATTCAGGTTAAACTGCTGTGTTGGCACTTTGCGATAAATAAGTGGGTTTTGGGTCGCAGTTTGGGCACTCGGTCTCTAAAAGGTTCTCCATCACTGTCCTATAAAGTAGAGGTCCAGGTTAGCCTGATCTCATCAGATCTCAGAAGCTAAGCAGAGCTGGCCCTTGTAAGTCCTTGAATGGGAGACCACCAAGTATGGGCAGGGTTGCTATTCAGAGGCAGGCAAGGGGAAACCACCTCCATCTGCTTCTTCCTTTGAAAACCTGATGGAGTTGCGATAAGTTTCCTGCGACTTGATGGCAATTTCCATAAAGGGCCATAGCCAGAAGTATAGCCAGCTGGTACACCACCCTTCCTAGAGCCTTGTTTTGCCTTCCGTAAGATTCCCCCACACCAGGAAAAAAAAACGGACAGGCTTTTAATTTGGGGTATGACCGTTCCCATTTAAAGAATAAGAGCTTGATTTAGAACAGAAACAATTTTGTTAAAAGTATTCCCCCATTATTTACTCCAACTGGAAGCACGGCAAGATACGGTACTTAAAAGGGATGAAGGGTACCTTAAAACAGGGACGGCCAATTTTTTTCAGCCTGAGGGGACATATCTTCCCCAACTGTGGTATCATTGCTTCCCTCTCCTATGTAAATGGGCTGAGGAGGATCTCATAAAAACATAAGAACATAAGAGATGCCAATGTTGGATCAGGCCAAAGGCCCATCCAGTCCAACACTCTGTGTCACACAGTGGCCAGAAATACTAGGTGCCATCAGGAGGTCCACCAGTGGGGCCAGGGCATTAGAAGCCCTCCCACTGTTGACCCCCCCAAGCACCAAGATGACAGAGCATCACTTGCCCCAGAGCCCCTATCTATACCTTGTGGCTAATAGCCACTGATGGACCTCTGCTCCATATGC